TGGTGGGTTCACCGTCCCTGGAGGTTTTTAAGATGAGGCTGGATGTGGCACTGAGTGCCATGATCTGGTAATCACAGTGGGGTTGGATCAAGGGTTGGACTTGATGATCTTGGAGGTCTCTTCCAACCCAGTTAATTCTATGATTCTATGATCAAGTCCAACTTTTGACCCTTGTCAACTGGACTATGGCACTAAGTGCCACATCCAGTCTCTTCTCAAATACCTCCAGGGACAGTGAATCTGCTACCTCCCTGGGCAGCCTCTTCCATTGTCTGATCACTCTCCCTGTAATGAATTTCTTTCTAACGTCTAACCCAAACCTCCCCTGGCAGAGCTTGAGGCCATGCCTTCTTGTCCTACTGGTGGTTGCCTGGGAGAAGAGACCAACCCCCACTTGGCTACAACCTCCTCTCAGGTAGCTGTAGAGAGTGATGAGGTCTCCCCTGAGCCTTCTCTTCTCCAGGCTAAACAATCCCAGCTCCCTCAGCCTCTCCTCATAGGACGTGTGCTCAAGTCCCTTCACCAGCCTCGTTGCTCCTCTCTGCACCTGCTCCAGCACCTCAATATCCTTCCTGAACTGAGGGGCCCAGAACTGGACACAGCACTCCAGGTGTGGCCTCACCAGTGCTGAGTACAGGGCAAGAATCACTTCCCTGGTCCTGCTGCCACACTGTTCCTGATGCAGGCCAGGATGCCATTGGCCTTCTTGGCCACCTGGGTATACTGCTGGCTCATCTTCAGCCACTGTCAGTCAGACCCCTTCCTGCCTGGCTGCTCTCCAGCCACTCTGTGCCCAGCCTGTAGTGCTGCAGGGGGTTGTTTTGGCCAAAGTGCAGGACCTGGCATTTGGTCTCATTAAACATCATACCATTGGATTCAGCCCCTCTATCCAGCCTATCCAGGTCCCTCTGCAGAACCCTCCTACCCTCCAGCACGTTTTCCATATGCTCTTACACTACCTTGTAGGTGCTGCTACTGCCATCAGGTTTGGTCCTTTGCGTTTACCTTGCTGCTGCCCGACAGGGCCAGGGAACATGGCACAGTCTATTTCTTACACCTAAGGAGTCTACCAACACCGTGATTCCTTACCCAAGTGTTATATTATCTCACTAGCGATGTTTGTGACCTTCTGCAGACAGAGTTGCTAATAGCTGTGTCTAGACAGAGAACAATTTTTCTTCATCATATGGGTGTTTAACCTTTTCAGTTTTCTTCTTACTGCAAATGAACACAAGCCCAATGTCTCCCCAGAGTTTCTAACCACCAGTGGGTCTATAAAGTGGCAATTAATCAGAAGGAAAAACATACACGCTGCTGAGCTGTTTTTTCTGAAATACAGTAGACAGTCTTTTATTTAAATTCTCCTATTAGGTTTTGAGTGAAAGATTGAACCAGCGAGTTTTTTCAACCCCGTCAACTATGTAAGTAGGGAAATGTTCTGAAAACATAGCCAAGGCCAGCATGGCAATGCAGCACCTTCCCACAATCATTCCTGGCCTACTATCTCAGTGGGGGGCAGCACGAGGCATTTCCTACTCTCCCACATCCCCATCTACTCCCATGTGGGCAGCGATGAGAAGAAGGGCATTATTTTTAAGAGTTAAAACACAAAGAGTCTCAAAAGCCCACAGCAATCACCCAGGGAAGCAGTGTAATTGCAGGTTGGGCCACCGCAGACTCCCGTGTGACCTTGGAGATTAGCTGGTAAACTCCAGGCCTCCCAAAAAGGGGGGGTAAGGCAGCTGGGTGTGTAAACAAGTAGAACGAGATCTATAAGTAAGCTTTGCAGCAAGGCCTCTCATCACACTCTCAACCTGTTGCCTGAGCCCGGCTGCAGAGAAGCAGGTGGGACACAACCCCCTCCCGGTGCTCTGAACACGTCCAGTCCTTGGTGAAAACCTTGGGTTCGGGATAACATTGCAGGTAGAGGGTTTTTTTCTCCTGTTTGTTGCCTTGCAGTAAGTTTCTCCGATCGGCCAAAAGCAGGTTTCTAAAATATATATAATTATATATATATAAAAATAATATATTATTATATATTTTATTATAGAATATATATTAATACTGTATATTTCTTATTTTATTAAAATTATATATTTTAATATGTATCATTTTATATTCATATATATATGCTGTCTATCTATCTATCTACCTATCTGCAAAATAGCAAGAGCAGTAATGTCCACCTGCCAGAAGGTCGGGGATGATGAAGTGAGAGGTGGGAAGCTGCTAGAGGGTGGGTCAGGTGGGGGTGGTAAGCCAGATTTTTAAAGAGGCGTTTAAATGGTTGCCAAATACTCTAATAGTTTTCGTGCTTTTAATAATTTAATGAAATTATAAGGAGTAAACCAAATATGTGCAATTGGTTTAGGCCACTTAATCTGTTCGCAGATCATAAGATATTGGGGTAGGTGGTATGCTACTCATGTCTTTGGCCAGGGCAGGGGCTTTCTGGAGTCTCAGGTAATCCAGAGGCAAGTATGGGCAGTCTGCCTGTCATGCTGGGGTGTTTTCCAGGATTTCATAGGAGGCTTTTGGGCTCAGCTGAAGGATAACATTTAAACAAATGGTGCAGAGCTTAGACTGAATCTGACTTCTTCCTGGTTTAATTCTGTGGCACAGAGGAATGTAAAAGGACCTGGCTGCTGAAAGGCCTAAGATTTTGCTGGAAAAACCCAGCCCAAAATTTAAGGTTCTGCATTTGTTTGGAATACATGCAATAATTTCTGTTCAGCCTGCACAACACAACATCGCCCATAGAAACAAACAGTGCTGAAAACGTGTAGCTATTGCAATTGCTCATGGCCCAGGCTGTTAAGCAAAACAAAACTCTCTAGCATTCAAAGTTAAAATAAGCACTGCTGGTTAATTTCACTGAGGGAGATGTCTGATAATCTTGGGTAAGATATAGGAATTAAAACCATGCACAATTATGGTTACAAGCTGTTCTTATTTTATTAATGAGTTTAATATGTTACACATTTGTACAGTGCACAGATAATTGTTATAGTCAGCAAACCCTGATTGCATCTTTAATTACTTCACATTATCCAAAAAGAGGCAAAAGCAAAATAAGTGGAAAGAGCATGTGATTTCTCCCTCCTTGCAACTGATTTGGAATCTTTTTTTTTTTTTTCCAATACAGCCTAAGAAGGGTTTATCTCCAGCTTAAACCAGCAGCCAACAGAAATAGGAAAGTGGCAAAAGTGCTTCTATGGACCAGGCTTGCATGCTGCAGGGTTAAATATGTTTAGCTGGTTTTCTGTATATACTGGATGTATAGAAAGGCTTCTCAGATACTACTGTGTGACACAGAAAGCCAGGTCATGTTTAAGATGCTTTAAGGTCAAGTGTAAGTGAAATTGCTTTGCAAACAGACTTTAATTGCTGAGCTTTGTATAGCGTATATGTTGGTATAGTTTGTATATGGTTTGTATAGTGTTCATTATTGGTGATTTTGTTATTGAATAATATAGAGAATGCAGATTTGCAAAGAGCAGCAGAAATATTATCAGTGTTTTTAACCATGATACATGGAGGTGGGGGAGATGTTGGAATACCTCTACCTATGGCATTAGTGGTATTATTGGAGTGCTCTGACCCACTTCAGAAGGAGCACTGGGAAAAAAAAAAAGTTCAAGCATAACTGCAGAATTACCTGAGATCTGGAAATTCACTTTGTATCAGGAATCCTGAGCTCTGCCTAATTATTTAGCCAAAGTGGATTTAAGAGACCTTCAAGTGCTTGTATCTGAAGAAATTTTTAATAGGTAACTCTTTAGCCCTTGCAAAAAAAAGTAAAACAGGATCTAATGATGGGGGAAATTCACTAGAAAAAAAAGAACACATTTTAAAAGGAAAATGATTCAATACTGGAGCAACTTGGCCTGGAGATGGTGAGTTCTCAGCTAGAAATTTTTGTAGATGTAGAAGCAAACCTACTTATTGCGGAGATAAGAGAGGACTGGCCAGTTTCAGTGCCTTTTATTGAGGCACAGGAGATCATAATAGATATCAAATCAGATTATCCCTCTCTAGTCTCAATTCATGAATCTTGCTGCAATGATTATTTGATGCACCTTGCAGTATGCTGGAAATGATTCCACTGAACCCGAGGTAACAAAATATTACACTTTTCTCATGGTGTGTGTTTGTGTAGATTTTTGCAGCGCGCAGTGGAGACAAATTATGTCCTCATATAAATACATATCAATACCTAACACAGTGTGGAAGCATATTGCACAGTGCTATGCATGCATTATGCACTCTGGGTATTGAAGTATAGTTGTTATATATTATATATAAGCTACAGTGCATAATTATATAATGGAGATATAGTTTGTGTTTATGTAACCTCACAGTATTTTATATTCTTTCCAGCTAAAAATTTCCCCTTAAGGACAGGTCATTGTTTACAGAAAACATTTTTGGCTGCTGATCTCATGCAGCTGTAAGGTCTTTCTGGTCACTGGTTAATGAGTTCCCAGAAGAACTTTGCTTGTTCTGTCTAAAGCAAAAACCAAAATGGTCTCTATTCTACCTCTCTAGACTTCTACAATAACCTAGTACTGAAACCAACTGCAGTATACAAAACCACTTTATTTTTCTGGTTTTCCAAGCTCAACTGGAGTCATGTGAAGGGGTTATAGAACGCAGTATATGTGACATTATCAGCAGCCATAGCCAATGCTCTGCAGACAGGAGCAGAGTAGTTAAGAAAAATAGTTTGATTTCGTTTTTCTCACGAGTTTTCTCTGGCTATTTCAATTCACACTTTTGTACATGCAGTGACAATGGGATTGGAAGTGCCACATGCACTAATGCCTCACAGGGCTGCCCATCTTCATCTCCTCATCCCAGCACTGCCTCAGCAGTCTTGGCCCTGAGCATGTGCCTAGGGGCAAGGAATCCTAAAATATTGTTTATGGACATGGACATGTTTATGGACATGGACAGCCTTGCTTTTTTTAGCACTAGGCACAAATACTGCCCGTGGGAGAAGGAGTGACCCTTTGCCAGCCCGGCCGTGCTCCTCTTGGTGGTGCTGTTGCAGCACTGCAGATTCATAGGCTGGTTTTCCCTCTATTCCTCTGAGGGAAGCTGGAAGGCTTAATGTGACTTGGCAGAGTCTGAAGTCCCGAGGTTCTACATGCTGCCCAAGTTTAAGGTACTAATTTATTCTGCAGTTGTGTTAAAAAAGCAGGAAGTGTCATTTGTAGGTGATTGCTGTTGCTCAGACATGCAGCTCTGCTCTGGAGAATTAGGGCCTTAGTGGAACAAAAGCAAATGTAAGGCAAAGGTCCTCACCCAGGGTAATTTTTGTATTCCTGTGGTCAAATGCTATCAGCAAACCTCTTCAGGTGGAGGAGGAGGCTTGGCAGGGATGCAGGGAATATGGAGGCAGCCTCACTCTCCTGGTTTCGTCCGCCAGTTTTCACTGTATTTTCACGCTTTAGGCAGAAAATTCTTACCCAGGCATTCCTGTCTAATCACAGGGTGGTTGGCTGAGCTTTCCTTTCATGGCTGATGTCCTATATTGGCAATTTCCTTTCTGATAGAAGGATATAAGGAAAAGGAAATAGAAAGTCAAAATGAGTTGTCATGAAAGAGTTGCCTTGCAGGTGAGGGATTTGGGATGCTCCATATTCTAAGGCACGTTTCAGCACTATGCCTGAATGTGAATCACAAGACTGCTTTGGTCTTTCAGATGCCGGGCACAGCAAGGCATGACCGAGACATGGCAACATGGGCCAAAAGAAACCTGTTGGAAGCTACTGACCCTATTGAAAAACTTCGTTTGCAGTGTTTAGCGAAGGGATCTGCTGGCATCAAAGGATTTGGAAAGTGAGTCTAAGAAGTCAAATCCATTATTCAGTCTAATAGTTTTAGCTGCAAGAGGCTCACAGACTTAACAGGGACCAAAATTTGAGTTTCCTGGTTCCAATGCAAATGCCACAACCCACAGAGCCTGGCCTTGGGGCTCATGTATTCTGGGACACAGGACTGGCCTGCTTGCCCATTGAAGGGATGAGCACTGTGACTCTTTCATGGGAAGGTGCTCCTGTGAGACCCAGAACAACTCCTGCCAGGGAGAGAAGGCAAGCATAAGCCAAATACCTCTCTTTGGGGTTTTTGAAAATTATTTTAAATATCTCAGTACAGGGGATTTTATGCTTCTTTTCTTTCAGATGTTATTCCCTTGTGTGTAATGGCCTGTGTAATGGTTGGTGTAGTAAGTCTGCCTAAGTGGGAGGCACTTAAACTCCTTTTGCACCCTAGTCCTAGGAAAGGGGAGCTGCATCACACCTTGAAACCCTTCCCAGGCCCTATAAACCATGAAGGGATCCAGCTGGTGACCAACTGGAGCTTCATCTAAATGCCCAACTTGCCAAGGGCAGAGCACTGTAATGAACAGGAAGACTGTGGCAGCCTTTCCCTCATTTACCTTCAGATGTGTAATAATCTGGCACCCAACAGAAACCAGTCATCTTTGCTGCCTATTACTGTGGGAGGCTTTGTTGGTTGGGGTTTTTTTCCTTTCCTCCCCAAATCCCCTCAGAATACTGAAAAAGGGTCAAATGTTACCTCAGTAAAGCGACCCTGTGCTCCAGCACTGTGCTGCAGCATTCTCCATGTTTTCCTGTGCATTTTCCTCAAATGTCACCTTTTCTGCAGAATGTTTCGAGTTATGGATCACAACAACAGCAGAACCCTCAATTTCCAAGAATTTATGAGAGGATTAAAAGATTATGCAATCATTCTAGACAAGGAAGAAGCACAAAAGGTTTTCTGCATATTTGATAAAGATGGCAACGGAACAATCGATTTCGATGAACTTCTTGTTACCCTGAGAGTAAGTCTGAAAATTTTTGTTAATACTGCAATAAATGGAGAAAAATATAGCAGAACAGAATGGAACAAGATAGAATAGAATATTTGCAAATAAACTGTTGTGTTTTTTTTCAGTGAATTGCAGCCTTGATTAAGTTACCTAAATTCCTATGTTGCAGTCTGGGTACCTATGTCATTCAGCCTATTAATCTCACTTCTTTATTCGTCATTTTATGATGCATCTCTTTAGAACATAAACTAATCCAGGGGAGACTCTCTTTAGTCCATCACACCATGGCTGATTTTGGTTGGAGTCTCTTTGCTCTGCTGAAATCTAAACAATTAAGATAGAAAATATTAGTGTTTAGATTAATGAGTAATTTCTTGTTAGAAATATATAAAATGGGCAGAACAGGAAAGTGTTCCAGGTAGTATTTTCTCTCTTATCATCCACTGTACTGGTTGACACTGAATAGTCTGAATCACACTGCTTTTTTATGGTGCTATATTGTCCTTTCTAGCTCATGGACAGTGTAGATTGTCAGCTGTCTGTTAACCCATATACCTTGAAATAGTTTTACTCCTAACAACAGCAGGTACCTGAATTTGGAACTCAGCAAGTAGTTGACAGAAATAAAATGATTCTGTTAATACTTCTTTACAGCCTCCCATGTCAAATGCAAGAAAGGAAATAATAATGCAAGCATTTCACAAATTAGACAAGACCGGAGATGGTGTTATAACAGTCGAAGATTTACGAGATGTGTATAACCCGAAACACCATCCTAAATACTTAAATGGAGACTGGACAGAAGATCAGGTTTTTAGAGCCTTTCTGGATAATTTTGATTCACCCTATGACAAAGATGGGAAGGTAAGTGAAACACCTAATATCAAGCCATGAAATCACCATCTGACTCAGCACTTGACTTATATTCTTAAACATCAGAGTGATTGCAGTACCACACATGCATTTGCATCACATTTATGTGGAAAAATAAAGTAGATGCATAGCGTGTGCATAGCACTGCTGGGACAGCATGCTTGCACATTCTGAGGCAAAACGGCTCTGCAGGAGGTGCGAGAGATTACATTACCAGGCTTGTAGCCTGCATGCTAGAACATGCTGATTTTTAAGATCCACATGAATTGGAGGATTTTTCACTTCTTAAGGAGAATAAATACTAGGACTCAATTCAAAAGCAAGTTCCTAATATATTAAATACTTTACTGTTAATTCTTCTCCAGTGTAATTACTGAGACATTTGACTCAGAAATCTGTCCATAATAGAGATAGATTTATCTGCAGAGAGTTGGAGGGAGGATGGGGTTGAGGATGCTGCCACCAGCTGTGTGCCCTGAGGAGCCTGAGCTGCAAGCTGCAAGCCCTTCCTGCCCTCTGCCTCATCTCTCTGGTGCAGGTGCAAAGCCTGGGCACTTTTGGTGGTGGACTTCTTGCGCATCTGCTTTACAACCATCTCTGAGACAAGCTTGCTCTATTTCCCCTTGTTATGTGCCTGTAAACTGCTTTTGGCTGACCTTACATCTGTCTGATCAGCTCAGAGCAATGCTGGATCTCCATGATTTACATAGTGATATTCTCAATCTGAACAGTTAATAATAACAAAATTGATAAGGTTTTATCAGTGCTTTGTGGAACATCTTTTAACATCTTCCACTCTTGAGGGTGCACCTGTGTATTCATGCCTGCATTACATTGATGACTCCTACCTGTCTAGTGGTTGGCAACTACACCCAAATCCTTCACTTGCTTTGCTTCCAACACCCAGGCTCTCAGTTGTAGAGAGGTAATGGATTTTATTTTCCTTGGGCATGACTTTGCACTTAGTAGAGCTGAATTTCATCCCTTATGCTGTTGTGTCATCCTCAGAGCTACCAGTTTTGGGCCAGTTGTCCCCTTTCTTCTCTTCAGCAGTGGTGATATCTAGCAAATCTCAAACAAAAGGTTCCTGCTTTTTATGCTGAGGTCACCTATGAACACATTAAATGAATCTCCAGAGCGATCCTTAAGAGTTCAGTGCCTTGTTATGCTGAGCACCCACCTCTTGTTCAGCAATCCTGCTGTTAGCTCACCTGATTGCTGTTTCTTCTGAGAACTAACTGTGGCTTTCCTGTGGCTGAATCAGAAGAGACTAATGATACTGAATACCTAAAATGTTTATAACAGAATTGCCTCACGGTTAAGCAATTACTAGAAAGATCCTCTTCACTGTGATCTTATTGGGTGCCTCTGAAATAGGCAGGGTCAGCAAGGCTTGTAATCAGTTCATGATGGTAGGACAATCTATAGTGACCACTTCTCCCTATCGTCATGTTTTACTTAGCTCTCAAACACACAATACAATCAGAGTAAATATCATAGAATCATAAAATATGCTGAGTTGGAAGGGATGCACCAGGATCATTGAGTCCAGCTCCTGGACTCATGACTTACCACTGCTTACCCTCATGAGGATGTTGTAGACTGCAATGAGATTTCTCCTCAGTTTCCTCTTCTCCAGGCTGAGAACAAAGTGAGTGACCTCAGCTGCTCCTCACAAAGCTTCCCCTCAAGGCAGTTCACCATCCTCATGGCCCTCCTTTGTACCCTCTTTAATAACTTAATGCCTTTTTTACTGTTTTTATTTTTCTGTGTGTTGTTATTCAAAGAATGATCTACATGGTTCATGAGTTAAGACATCATGAGAAACATGCACTGTTTCTCTGCTAATTTTATCCTTATTTTTTGTAATGGTCATTTTAAAATTATTCCACCTCACAATACCTGAGAGAGATATTCAAAACTCTTAGGTATTTGAAAAAGTTATTACTTCATTAAGTGAGACTTTTTTAGAGCAATGATATTTTCTCTCTGTGGGTAGATATAAACTTCTGAGCTGTCTCTGGGTTGTATCAGAAACCCCATCCACCTTTATTAATAGTAATGAAAAGATCATATCATCCCTGGAAAAAAAGTACATTAAAATATCTGTCTTCTTAGGGAGCAGTGATTTTAACTTTAGTTCCTGGTAATGTTAGTGAACTTCACGTGTTTCATGTCCATCCATGAGCTCTTGAGTCTAGCAAAGTGACCTTAAGCAATTTTTCTATTACTTTTTTCCCTCCTGTTTGATTCCTTTTTGTTAGCAACAACACGAAATAGCAGATGTTCTGTTTTCTAAAGGTACACCTCAATGTGTGGTTTTGACTTACAGCATCAAAAGAAAATATTCATTTTCCTATTTTAAATCCCTCTGTTTCAGGTCACAACAGAAGAATTCATGAACTACTATGCAGGAGTCAGTGCTTCGATTGATTCAGATACCTACTTTATCGTCATGATGAAGACTGCTTGGAAAATCTGATCATACAGTTAAGGAAGCAAAACTTTACTCCCACCTTTTTTGTGTCTTTGATTAAATGTATGCACAACAACAGCCTCATGTTCCATAAAAACCATTTCCAGTAACTATGCCAATTACAGTCAGTCTGCAGAATTAATTCCAGATGATCAGGGGAGTGGAGAATAATCAGAGAGCACATCTGGCATCCAGCCACTCTGCACATCTGTCCATTTACTCCCTAATCCCTGACATGTCTTTACTCAGATCATAGAATTTAAGAATCAGCCGGGTAGGAAAGGACCTCTGAGATGATCAGGTCCAACCCTCAATGCACTAACACCACAGTTACTAGACCTAGGGACTAAGTGCCACATCCAATACCTCCAGGGATGGAGAATCCACCACCTCCCTGGGCAGTCCATTCAAATGCCTGATGACCCTCTCTCTGAAGAATTTCTTCCTAATATCCAACACAAACCTCCCCTGGCAGAGCTTAAGCCCGTGCCCTCTTATCCTACTGGTGGTTGCCTGGGAAGAGAGAGCAACCCCCACCTGGCTACAACCTCCTTTCACATAGTCGTAGAGAGCGATGAGGTCACCCCTGAGCCTTCTCTTCTCCAGGCTAAACAACCCCAGCTCCCTCAGCCTCTCCTCATAGGACGTGTGCTCAAGTCCCTTCACCAGCCTCGTTGCTCCTCTCTGCACCTGCTCCAGCACCTCAATATCCTTCCTGAACTGAGGGGCCCAGAACTGGACACAGCACTCCAGGTGTGGCCTCACCAGTGCTGAGTACAGGGGAAGGAGCACTTCCCTGCTCCTACTGCCATACCATTCCTGATGCAGGCCAGGATGCCATTGGCCTTCTTGGCCACCTGGGCACACTGCTGGCTCATGTTCAGCTCCCTGTCCATCCAAACTCCCAGGTCCCTTTCCACCTGGCTGCTCTCCAGCCACTCTGTGCCCAGCCCGTAGCGCTGCAGGGGGTTGTTGTGGCCAAAGTGCAGGATCCAGCATTTGGCCTTGTTGAACTGCAACCCATTGGAATCAGCCCAAGTTTCCAGTCTGTCCAGGTCCCTCTGCAGAGCCCTCCAGCCTTCCAGCAGGTCGCCACTCTTCCCTCCCAACTTGGTGTCATCTGCAAATTTGCTAATAAAGATATTAAACAGGACTGGGCCCAACACTGATCCCTAGGGGACACCACTGGTGACTGGCTGCCAACTGGGTGCAGCTCCGTTCACCAGCACTCTCTGGGCCCGGCCCTCCAGCCTGTTCCTAACCCAGCACAGAGCGCCCTCTCCAAGCCATGGGCTGCAGCTTTTTCATGGTCTTCTCTTCCATGGACTGCAAGGGGACACTTGCCTACCACGGATCTTCACCACAGAGTCCCAGGGGATAATGGCTTTTGAGTCCACCCGTTTCCTGTGGGGCCCTTCCCACGAGAGAACAGTCCTTAAAAGATTTCTCCGACGTGAGTCCGTCTCTCGGACAACAGGTCTTCCATTCTCTGCTGTCTCTCAGGGTCACAAATTTAGCTGCACCAGCATGGATCCTTCAGTCGGAGCCCAACTCAGGGTCACA